ATGGGACTGGTCATTATGTAGTGATGGAAGGGGCAGCGAATCTACTTAAGTTGACAATTCAAAGTATTTGTGCCTATATATGCTGCACTTATGCACCCTCGTATACCATACTGTGAAAACGACAGGGACTTATGGAGTGGAATTACCAACATGAATAAATTGATTTGATACCATTTCGTCTCAAGTTGGTTGGTTGGTGAAGTGAATGTGCTATTCCCTGTAAGTAATATATCATGTGTAGATAGCTTGAGTGACTTCTTATAGTTGCAAACTGCAGTATGAACTCTAAACAGTATTACATCAGACTGTGACGGAGGCTAAGTCAGATAACCAGTATTAGCATCTTCATAGATGAAACATATGTCATTGGCATTTCACAGTGCATATCAGTGCATTCTCAGGCTCCTTCTCAAGCTTCCAAATATTAACAGGGAGTAGTGGACGATAACTTAGTTGAGTGTGTCAGCGATCATCAAACCTGCACTTTGACGCTTGTTTTTGAAGCTTGAGAAAAATCTTGTATCTTTTGATTAAGAGCACGAATAAGCCTATTAAAATGAGCTGTATCGAGCGTTTGCAGTCAAATTACCTGAAAATTATCCATGAGATGACTTCTAAGTTTTTCATTTTGTAGAGTAATGGGCTTCCCAGTAAGTACAAGATTCTTGAGTAAACTGTATGCTGCTCGATAGATTTCAGTAACAGAATTTTGGTTTTCTGATTAACACAACGCTTCAAAACATTCGAGGTAATGTTCGATTTTCTGTCTCAAACTGTTGGCAGGCAACTTTCTAAGGCTTATGAATCCTAGTGCAGCGATGCCAGAATGTAATAGATGAGTGTGTTGCCGTTGGTAATAAAAGCATTTTAATGAAGTGATCTATCCCGCCAGAAAGACAGAAGCCGAGAATTAATAATCAGTGGAATCATTTATATCATTGTGAATGCAGTTAAGACAAACAAATAACAACTAAAATGTCCTTACTTAAAACACAGATGCTTGGATATACATTTAACTCAAGAATTGGTTTCGAAAACAAATAACATAAACAAGTAGGTTAAGAATTCAGGCTTCCAGAGGGACAACTATCGTTTCTATGTATGGAATGTTATAAGATATGCTTTGACAATATTCGAGCTAAAATTATGATTGAATACTGGTCCATAGATTTATTTATAGGGGAAACTTTAGATAACAAAGAGTATTACGGCGATAGAGAGATTTCACATCAAAATTCAGTAACCTTTATTCAGGTAGTGCTTATTACTAAGGTAGTATTTGGAGAAGCTTTGAAAAGCTGGGAGCACTGGACAACTGTTTCGTCCTAGTGTGGGACTCTTCAGTAGTACGTGCCCACGACCCGGCTAGGGATCTAACTCAGTAACTTCAAGTTTCACAGCGAACGCGTTAATCATTCAGTCAGTAGGTTACAGTTCAGTGGCCCATAGTTTGGTGCTTCTGTCAGTTTGTGATATAGAGAAACTGTCCACCAAGGTCTTCAGCTGAACAGTTGCGCTATATGAGGAACTGACTGAAGTACGAAAATATGGACCATTAAACCCCACTTCAGTGGCTTGATGGTTAACGCATTCATTGTGGGACCCAAAAGTCGTCAGTCTGATCCCAAGCGGGGTGGTGGTTGTTTACTGCTAAGGAGTCCCATACTAGGACGAGACGACTGTCCGGTTCTCCTATGCCTTCAGTGGTTATCCAAATGATTTCAGTCCCGGATGAGTAATACCCTAAAAATCAACTATTTCACAATTTAATCTCAAAATTAGTAAAAATGTGCAGGTAACAGTGAATAGTCAAGTTATATAACCACTAAACTTGTGACTATTTGCCAGTAGGAAACGGTGTATTCATAGGTACAGCTTAGTAAGACTCTCATGAAAATGTGTATACTCTTTCAAATTCCCCTCTTTCAATGTTAGTATAGGAATATTCCTTATGTATAAATTATGTATCCGTTGTAATCAATCATTTACCGAATCCTGATCTAGTTTCGTTCTATCAAGTGGAATATTGTCATTGATACCTTCGAAACTACATATTTTTAAAATATTAAAGACGTACTTAGTTGCAAAGCTTCTCTTTTCTAAAAGAAGGAGAAACAACTGCTCCAAGGTTCAGATATACCGTCTGTTTACTCTTCTACCTAATCACAGTTCTACAGCTGCACTACATGCTTAAAATGAATTTCCATCTAAAGCTCAATAACAATAAAATACGGAAAGTAGTTATTATAGTTCAGTTGATGACTAGTCGTGGAATCCAGAGCGCGCTAGGCATCCTATTTAGGACTCATCAACCGAATGTACCTGCACTCAAGCGGGTGATAATGTTCCCACTGAGACTCAACTCCAGTAATCATAGCTTCAAACCCTAAGGCATTATCCACTAGTAATGATTGTCAGTTTCCTACCTAGTTATTGCTGCCAAATTATAATTTGTATTATTGGTATCTTGTACTTATTGTAGAAACTGGCAGATTGTAATAACATAGTCAACAACCACCTTTTCCTTTTATTTATGGTAAAAACAATATTTAAATTTCCCATATTTGTTTTAATTTGCATACAAATGAAGAGCGAGATTTGAAGTACGACGGTTTTATCGTGTTTTACAAAATTTATTACTTCCGATTTGTTGATACTAAACTGTTTTTTTGGTTTTCTAATGCTGGTTTCACCCAACCTAAAAATACTCAACAAGCAGTTCATTTCATAATGTTTACCCGGTAGTGGCTAACAGTGGAATATAGGACGCACGTTTCGTCCTGTTTTAGACTAGCCAGCAAGATGTACTAACACCCCAGTGAGTGATGGTGTACCCCCTGAGACTCAAACTGCGTACCGATAGCTTCAGATATACATCGTGAATTCCACTGATAACCACCACCAGGTAAATTATAGCAATTAATATTCACAGAATACCAAAGCATCTGCATATGAGTGCATATTCCAAAAGAGCCTGATCAATTCGATACCGCATAACAATGGTAAACTAAAAGTATCAATAAGTGATAATGACTTATACCCCTTTCACAAAAAGTGGCTGTCGTGTCTAATGGATAATGCTGTGGGGTTTGAAGTGTTGGTGGGAATACCAGTACTCACCAGGGTACGGGCGTATCCAACGGACTAGTTCCAAATAGGACAAAGTGAGCATTCTGGATTTCACTGCTAGCCACGACCAATTAAATTACAGATTTACACACCTTTTATTGCTTTAATCAAATTATTAAGGAACTTTCTTTGCAAAATCAGTAAATGTTAGACTATCAGTTTGACTGTGTAAGCAATGATAAATAAATCTCATCACATGTGAGTTTTCTCTCGGATATTCTTCAGTAAGAGTGAGACGCATTTTAGAAGACTGAACCTTAATGGCTAATTTCAAATCCTTCTGAGACTTAACGATCAGTATTTCCAATCATTTGCCATACCAACAGACATGACATAGCAGATTCTGGTTTAAGGATGATAGGCATTGTCAAAATTAACAAGAGTATTGACTTTTGATTGATATGGTGCTTCGAATATTTTGAATAGATTTAAAGCAGAAGGATAAAATTGTAGATCTGGTGAAAAACCGGTGTATTCTGCCGTCTTTTTGGTTGAACTAGGTGGTGAGTATTCCCAATGGGACTCGAGGCCAGTACTCATCGCTTCAAACACCAAAGCGTTATGAACTAGGCCAGTGAGGCATTTCATCAGTTGACGGACAGTATGCAAAATCTCAAATACTAGACCAGTTTATCCAAGCAGTAAAGTGTTTTTGAGATATCTCAGCATTGATTGAAGTAAGTTTGAGCAGATGGAGATAACATGAGTGTACTCAATGTTTACAGATGCACCTTATTGATGAGTGTCAACAGGCAAGAAATCTATACCGAATGAAGTTGCCTACTGAATGACTGTTTATGCCTACTACTGTCGTTTCTGTAGTCTGTGTAGTACAGTACACAAAGGATAATAATTGCTGCTTTTATATCCATATTGGTGACTAACAGGGGAATCCAGGACGCGAGCTTCATCCTACTTTGGACTCATCAGCTGGGTGTACCTGGCTCTCAGTGAGTGGTATTTTTCCCACCGAGACTGAGATCCAGTACTTATCGTTACAAACGCCAATGTTTTATCCACTAGGCTAATGGGATACGAGGGTCCAAATAGGATGAGACGCACGTCCTGGATTCCACTGCTAGTCACCAAGACGAATGTAACAACATGAATATCTGACAGTATCGAGGCATCTACAAATGGGCCTATTTGCCAACAGAGGTCGAGCAATTCGATTCAATTACGAGTATCAAACAATGATTCCTTTTATTAAGCAGAGGAAAACAGAAACATGTTTGTGCCTTTATTACTAATTCAGCCTCCATTTGAAAATATGTATTAACTAGTCTAGTCAAACAATATTGATTATATCGTTGAACATATGTTACTTTTAAATAATTACATTGCTTAACACTGTATATTCTTGTGAATTTACTGAAATTACAACAACCAAATTGATCGGGATTACTGTCACTTGGAGTTAGCTTAAAATCTATCAATACAATATTTGTATCTCATCACGTGGTGCAACAAACGAATTACAGGGTAGAATATTTCTATTGGTCAGCTGAACGGTGTGTGCTTGGGCTTGGAATTTTATCTGCGAAAGTACTGTCCAATTAGAATCATTGTGCTAATTCGATTTTACGAAGGGTAGAGAAACAACTGTTGTCTGTGTACACTTCTAATTACAATTTAATTCAATTTACAGCGTTCTTTCATGGTAGAAATCAATAGTTTGGGGAGAAAAATTGTGTATGCATTAAACACCGCTGATCGGAAGGGTTAATACACGAACCAATAAAAATAAAGTTAATTTACAGGATAGAAAGGAATATTCTGTTGTTGTTTTTTAATTTCTACTAGGGTGGTGTTGTCAACACTTACATACTACTAAAGGATTTATATACCTGTGTAAGCTAGAATAAATTTCTGTGCTACAACTGTGCAAACTTGTCAAATATCACCTTCAAGTAACAACACAAGCATTAGTAACAATTGCTGTTCATTGAAATATCTTTGAAAGCAAGTTAACAGAAGGCAAAGAAGAAAAAACTTACTACAACAGCTGCTGTACATTCATGAACAGTCGGTTCCAAGTCAAAGAAAGCAACTGTTCAACACATTAACTACATAATCAAGTGAATGAAATAAAACACAAACACGTGTACACATTCATATTATCTACGAAGTCAACTACTCGATAACAACAATACAGGGAATAATTGAACTCTTAGACTTCAGCCTGAATTCTATAACAACTATTGCGTGTACTTGTCAAATTGTGTCCATCAGATCCTAAGATCCATTTGTACAAGGTCATTTATTTCATTTTTCCTTTACAACGATTTACTCTGAGGAGATCAACAACTGTTCAACACGAAAACTAATTGACCTATCACCTAGATATAGTTGTCTTGTGTTTTATTTTTTTTGACAAAATACCCGAAAAGAAATTTTTCTCAAAGGCTTGTCCAAGAATACAAGTTTTCTCACCGACAAGAAAAAAGAAGTTAACCAAGAGACAAATTACTTTCAAGAAAAATATCTGCAAAATTTTTAACAACAACGAGAAACAAGGGGTAAAAAAAAACGGCACTCACTCAAATAACTGAAACATTTCTCTGTTCTACGGATAGTATTACTTTGTGAATATTTTTTCGATTAGCAGCTGACTCGAGTAGAAACCAACTGTTGTCATTGAAAAAAGGACCAAAAAAACGAGAGAAAACAGAGGAGCCAAATTTTCCAATTCCTGCTGCTTCTTTCTTGCCTACCAAAAAACAAAAAAATCCTTTGTAAATATTGGATAACAAGCAAAGAAAATTAAAAAGGTTATCAAGTTTGTCAATACTTTCCGAGTAAAAACTAATCATATTTTTTTTTACAAAAGAGACAATTGTTCTTCAAATTGGATCGTTCAACTGGCTTAACAATACACTTTGTCGAAGAAAATTATTTAACTGACATCTAGTTAAGACAACAACAGTTGTCAGCGTATTATCCGAAATCCTTATTTTTTTTGTTATATAAATCACGTGAAGTAAATATGATTGGAGATTATGAACAGTTGCATCATTTGAATAATACATTTGTACATTACACCAACAACAATAATGTATCAAATGATACATCTTCAGAATCATGTCAGCTGTTAAGCTATCCTACACAGCTGATCACTACAGCAGCAGCAGCAGCAGCAGTGGCAACAACCACCACAGCGACAAAACACCTGACACAGTTTCCTATACCAATCAGTCATCATATTCCTCTAACAGGTGAACAAAACTTTAGTTTGAGCAATCCTTCCGAGTATAATAACATTAATCAGACCGTACAGAATCAAAATAACACTTATGAATTATCATCTTCATCATTGTATTGTACTCTATCGAATCAGTATTCATCTGATTCAGAATATGTAACAGGTCAACAACATTATCCTGTTGGAACACTAACTAATAATAATAATAATAATTCATTTCACTATGCGAATGTTCCATTTATCCCTTCATCTCATTACTTGCCATCTTCTGATGTTGCTGCTTCCTCTTCAAAGTCATCATCATCAGCAGTAGAAACAACGACAACACCTGCAACACTATCCGCAACAGTTGTAACAGAAACGCATCAATCACTTATCAATGAACAGACTGAAATTCCTTTACACCATCCACAATTCATTCAATCATCAGATGAATTCAATAATTTATTGCCAAAAGATTCTGAATTCATTAAATCTTCTGTATTACGTCATCTGGACCAGTATTCACATTTTGTGAATCAATCACCATTTCAAACTTTAGTTCATCATTTAGTTGCTAATAATAACAATAAAGACAGTTACGGTAATATTTTGACTTCTAATATAGATGATCATGTAATATTCTTGAATAAAAATGTTTCATGTAATTTTAATAATACTCCTGAATTTTTACCATCTATATGTCATGATAATCATGTTTTAGAAAAAGAACTTGTAAAAATCGACACTTCAGTTGATGACACCTACCTACAACATCATAAACATCAAATTCATCAACAACAATCAATACATCCTGTTGACTACGATGCATACTTAAGGAATCCAAAAAGATTCGATAATGAGTCAAAATTCATGTACTCAGAAGACTATATTCCTATTGATCAAAGAAACTATAGTGATGACAATAGCAAATCTTTTCTAACAGTTCCATCATCAACAATAATGTCATCAGCTACAGCTAATAACTTTATGGTTTCAACCAACTGGATACCAGAGAAGACAGATACCTATTTCAATGAAATCTTGTCACCATCTCAACAGCAACAACATCGCCAACTATCCAGTAGATATTTAACATCAGGAGGCCATTTCACATCAACTCCACTGTCTGAAGTCAACTTTTGCAATCAACAAACAGCCAATTTGAATAATAATAATAATTATAATACATCAGATCTGTTGCATAACACAACACCGTATCGTATTTCTAAGCCTTATGAAAACCAAAACAACAATGATAATGTCTACTGTCCACCCATCCCTGCGACAACGTCAACTAATACTGTTATTACAAGCGATAATTCAGTTAAACTTTATAGTCAAACACAGATTAGTTTCGATGAAACCTTGTCAACTTCGTCAGCAGCATCAAGATCATCTGGTTCACTGGGAAATGTCTCTTCAAATCAGTCGGATAGCAATAATTCCGGAAAACAACCTCATCATATTTTAGATCAATTTCAAATGCATTTACACAATACTGGTGGCAAGTGCATTTCTCATAAATCTGAAATTACAATGAATCCACCAACATCTTATATGACTAGTAGCAATTATCCTATCTCCTCACCACTTAACAGTTTGACTAATACTACAGTAGAAAAAACTGATAAATATTTAAATCCAGACTCAAATAAATCGTCTACGGAAACAGAGCAAATAACAAATGATAAGAAAAGCGAAAACTCTTCAAATGATAAACGAAAACCTACAGGTTTAATGGTAACCAATCTCAGTTATTCACTGTCACAAAAACGCACAAGATCAATTATGCAGTCAGATGCAACATCTTCTAAATTAGGTCGACCAAGTGTACAGCTATCAGGATCACCAACTTCTTCGACACCAGTACATAAACGTGGTCGCCATTCACGTGTAAAACAAACAATGCTTAATTTAGATGAAATTAAAAAACCCTCCCATCCATTAATGAAGACAACAGTAATGAAATCAAATTCATGTGATGAATCAGACAGTACAAGTGAAGACTCGGATTCAGAAGATGGAAGTGAAGAGACCAAGGTAAACCTTTCATTTTGAATTGTTCTCTACTAATTAGTATTTCCTGTATCCCTCCCGCTCCCATTGTCTATTTTGACCTTGTACTGAAACTGAAAGTATACAAAAGCATAAGATATTTTGTATATGAAAAATGTAATTGAGAGTTGCATTCATCACAAACTGACATCAGTTGGGGAATCACTGATAACCTGGAAGCACTGAGAACCTTGGTGGCTAGTCGCATCTTACCGCAAAGTGATAGAAGTAGAAAACTCCAGACCAATGATCTCCAACCTGGCGACCGAATGTTTAGCAAATTCACCATGAAACTTTAAGGTTCTGAGTTAAATCCCTAGCAGCGTCATGGGTACGTACTACTGTGGAGTCTTATATTAAGACGAGACGGCTATCTAGGGCTCCTAGGTTTTCAGTGGTTCTTCAACTGATATCAGTCCATGATGAATAGAACCCTCAAAATAAAATCCTGATAAACCTCAAACTATAAAATGTAATCATTAAATAATTTTTTTATTGTGATAAAAAGTACTACAGAGGCTTACACTATCAATCTCTTGACCTGAAGGAACCAGCTAGTATTGTATATAGGTAAGTAATCCAGCAGTATGATGCATTGAAATGAATGGTTGAGTTCATACTGAAAAGTGAACTTGTCTACCTCTTCCATTTCTTTATATTTGTAAATTCCCGTTGATTATTTACTATACAGGATCAAATTAATTGGTCACCCTCAGTATGTGGTCAATTAAAACGCATGCCTCAATATTGCTCATCTCTCCCGCCCAACTTTCTTTTTGATATAATTCCTATTATGGTGGCTAGTGGTGTATTACACTATGCATATTTTACCTATTTTGAAATTCGTCAGTTTGCCTTTTTTATGAACTGGAAGATGTTCATGCAAACTACCTCTGGGTGGAAAGAAAGTATTATCCACTTCAAATTAATCTTAATACTACTCTCAACTGTAATTTAGTATGTGCAACCAGTGGGTTTGATACTACTCCTCAACAAACGTCACATGTAATCTGTAGAGTAGGCTTAATGATTACACTGAAATCTGTAGTACGGATGCACTAAGAGACTACTCACTAACACGTCATTTCCACTTTGCTTGATTTTCAGAATCTTCGATGATTTTCTCAGCCGGAGCGTCTATAATAGCTATGTAGAATAGTGAGTGGGTTAAGCTTTGGTATTTGAAGCAATAGGCTATGGGATCGAGCCACAATCGAAACAATATTGCCTACTATGAGACAGGTTCATCCACTTTGCGAGTCAGAAAACAGGACGAAACGTGCATCTCGGATTCCAGTGTTAGCACCATCATTAGTCTCAGTAGTTTAAGCACTTTCGGTTGTGAAGTTTTAGTGTAAACTAAAGATAAAGGAAGAAATATAAATCCTGTATTTTGATAGATTCGCAATACTCGTCGCATAAGAGATTGCTTTCATCCTAAGTGGTCAGTGAGAACAAAATCACTCGCTGGAATCCAGGTGTATCCAACTGACGACTCTCAAACATGACGAAATGTGTATCCTGGATCCCACTGTTGGCCACAGGCAAGTAAGTTTAACTAATAGTCTACAATGTCAATTTTCTCTAACAATCTCATCTTTGATAAAATGGAGTTTGTATCATCCTGCTGTGTTACAAATTAGTCAAGACAAGTTCGTTTACTCTTCATGTCCTATGTCTAAATCTTTCTCGTGTTGGTCGAAATTTGAACTAACAGTATTACTTTAACCTAAAGCCACTTTAACCATGCAGACAAGTATTTCCCTTATCAATTCATTCACCTGGCTCCATTTACCCCCCCCCCTTCTCCTATCACCATTATTATTATCAAGGATCTACTAAGGATCTCAGTCAATTGTAGTTAAAAGGAATCAGGTCAATAACTTATAATTTTCTTACCGTTTCAATAATATTCACTGAGTAAAACTGGTTAGTTAGTCGTCCGTAACATGTTTGACTTCAGTATACACAAATACACACATACAATTACACTGTTAATATGTTTCACTAATGAATGATGCATGCAGTGAAGCATAAAAGCAAATAAATATAGCTTGATTCAAATGTCTAGTTATTCGAAATGAGATTAGACAAATACGCATAAATTAGCTCCGTCTAACGGTTCACCTTTTTGCTGATTCTTCTTTTCCCTCAGAATTTATCTGTTACATATGCATGATTTGATAATTTAATGATAACTGACATTTTAAACATCCTTTTTTGCATTATATGAATGACTGATCGCATTAAAAACTACATGATCAGTAGGTAATATACGCATAAAGCAAAATCTATCCTATTTTCATGCCAATAATAATCTTGTCTCTTATTTTAAACCTGATTATACCATCGTTTTAATTTTTGTCGGTAAACTATCATTTTTGAAAAACTTAGTACTAATTGTGGACCATTGGATTCCGACCCAGTGGCTCAGTGACAACGTGTTGGTCACAAGACCGGAAGGTCCTGGGTTCAATTCCCAGTGGGGTCATGGGTTCGCATTGCTGAGGCGTCCCATAGTGAAATGAAACAGCTCTCAAGTGCTCCTGGGTTTCCAATGTTTCCCCAGATGATATCGCTCTATGATACATGCCAACCTGAAGTCAGAAATTAAATCCCTGCAACCCTCCAAATTGGAAAATGGTGTCATTAATGAAGAATGCAAAAATTTATCAGCAAAAAAACTCGGAAGAGACGCTGTCAATGACAGGCTGTCCACACCCAGCTAATCTATGTGTCCAAAAAGAACTGTAAAATTTCATCATATACCTACAAAACGTAACTGAAATCAACGAACAGAGTAGTGGGAAAACGTTTCTTAGCAAATTGTGTACATACACTAAGGTACTGAAATGCATCAAATCAAAATCAAGCTGTAGTCTAAATCATTAGTGAAAACTTTTGAAGACGAGCCATTCCACTGTGCTAAAGCGGACAATCTGCTCACTTGATGGCAAACTATCATTAGCTCTTTCTTTAAAATTATCTGAAGACCTTAAAGGTGATAAGTAGATCGAACAAACTAGTCAAGAAATGGACCAATTAAAATATACTTTGCGTCAGTTACATCTACACTTAGACTGGCAGACGATCGATCAGTCAGTATTATCATTTTTAAACGCCAGACTATATATATTCTCTTTTTCGTGATTATTTTGAGTCTTCAGTCTGAATACATATTCCTACATGTCTCAACTGTGTCTTCCTCTCTAATCAGTCTGGTCGAGAATCGACTAGGAAGTTGTAGAATATTGGTGCCTAGATGGTGAGGAGTTATAACAGTTTGGAACCATAATTAAGAGTCTTATTGTTTCTTATGTATACTGAAGTTGAATACAACAGCCTACTGTTAGAAAATAAACTTGTTTAAAGTAAACAACAAGCAGAGTAAAATATCGTTCCTACTTATAACTTAAAACCTTAGGGAAATCAGTTGTTTCTAAGCAGATTCAATGTATCATCTCTATTGCTTTAAAGACATTTTTATGTATAGCGCAACTCAAGGTTATTTTATACCTATCTAATTGTGAACAGTTGTTCACTTTATTTCACAGATTATAATTCTACTCCAAGTATCCTTTAATTCATATTTAATGCGTATTTCTATTACTATTATTATTGTTAACAATATTATTCATAATCTATATCATTATTCGTTCCCAACCGTCTGTATTAAAAATGTACCGTGGAGACTACGATTTGTTACATTTTTTAACTTTCTACAAGTTTATAAAGTGTGTATGTGCACCCAAAATATTTAGGCGAAAATCAAATACATTGAATTTTGTCAATTTTTATTCATTTCTATTCTCTTCTTCTTTCAACTCTTTTCTCGTGTATTTATTCATGCCGTTTTATGCTGCTTATAGAGAGGTTAAACATACATCTATATTTTCACCACACTGGTAGAAAAAATTAATCGAAAACGATTGATACACCAACAACTGACGCTAAAACATCAGCATAGGTTATACGACAGATCTACAAACATCTATATATGTTTAGTAGTAAAGATTGTTCTATATTTCAGTTCTCCTCCGCTTCTCATTTCTTACATGGAAACACCCACCAGATTACTGTTCACTTATCTTTTATCACCTTCAGTTGTAGGATAGTTGTTATGATATTCTCCCCCTGTTTGCCTAGCTGCCAACCAGATTATCACCGTCTGCCTACACTATCCCCTCTCTCCTACTATACTTTCACTGATTTACCATACTTGTGTGTGTATGTGTATAATGACTGAATTTTAAGCATAATATGTATCATGGTAACTAAGACATTTCTCTGAAAGGTTTTCACAAACCATAACATTAAGACAAAACAATGATAACTCGAATAGTAGTTACAGTAATTATTGTCATCATCCCTTCCATTATTGCTGTCGTCTTAAAAATTACTGCTTGCAAAGCAACTAGACAAAATTGTTTGTTCATCACACTATCTTTTAGAGTTAGGCACACATATCTGAAGGTAAACACACACGTACACCAACAAAACATGTTCGCAAAGAAAAGTATCCATGAGTATAACAGCGCGCCTGTTGTCTTGAAATTACCTTACTTTTTTTTCCCCTCACTTGTACATCTTTAAATAAAAACTGGTAGTTTATTACAGAGATAAAAATGGAATTCCTCTTAGCACCATCATTATCGACATAACCGAATTCTTCCTTATTGATAATATTCTGGTTATGAAAACCCCTATTATTGTTATTATTATTGTGCCCAAAGAAATTCATAATGTTTTCACTTCATATAATCCTATGGTGTTCTACAGGAGTTTTATTAAGCGTGAAACAAGAGATGGAGGGGTGGGGGTGAACAAGTGATGTCATCATATTCAAATTCAGTTGAACACAATTAAAAGTACAGTATACATGTCAGTTTATTTTGTTACTGGCAAAAAAAGGAATGCATCACTTTCTTTTGACAACTATTTTTCCAATTTCTAGGAGGAGCATGTTATTGCTCCAGGTTCTCATGGTCAATGTTTATTATGGGCATGTAAGGCATGCAAAAAGAAAACTATGCAAGTTGATCGTAGGAAAGCGGCAACAATGCGAGAAAGGCGTCGATTACGTAAAGTGAATGAAGCTTTTGAAACATTGAAAAAACGAACATGCGCTAATCCAAATCAACGTATGCCAAAGGTGGAGATTTTAAGGAATGCAATTGATTATATTGAAAATTTAGAAGATATGCTTCAACAGAATGGTGTAATCCCTATGGGTATGACTCCGTTGACATCAGCATTGAATGCTATCACCAGTTCACAAAATGATACTAATAATATGAGTTCAAATAATCGTGTAACTCTATGCAATTCATCTGTAACAACTTCAGTCAATAATTCAAATAGCTATCAGTCAACTACATCCACAAAATCAAAACTCACAATGAACAATAAATACGTTAAGGAACAAAATGATTCATCTTCACTTCTAAATCAATCTCATCTATCTAATACTTGTGTTTTACCTTATACCTGTTCTCAAGATAATTCCAAATTATCAAATTTTAGATGTGATTTCAATTTAGAAAATGGTAATAAACATGATTCTACAGATTCCCTCACAGATATTTCTCTTGGCAGTTTACCAACTGAATGCCGAACTGATGAACAGTTAAGTACAATGAATAATTCCATATGTTCAATGGTTCCAGAAACGAAAGTAAGTTCTATGTTCAATCTTATGATTTCATTTGATAATTCTAAATTATAATTTTAGTGAATGTTAATACCAGTTATTGATAAGAAGCATATGCCTCACGGAATTATGGAACACCACTTATCCAAAGTATGCTTAGCCTTAATCCATTCCACAAAGTCATGTGATTTGAGTATTAACTAAATACTGAAAATTCTCAAATAAATCAAACGGATCGATAAATATACTTAAATTTTTTTAAATTTTGATTGGCTAGTCTAAGGTCATTTGATGTCAAAATGAATAGTTGTTAAATAAGTCAATTTTATTTTAGTGGCATTCAAAATATTTCATAGAAGTATATATATGCACTTTTATAAGAGGAGTTTCTAAATACAACAGACCTCCTTTAACTTCATTTGACTTTTGTTTTGATGCCCTAATTCTCTCTTCTTTTACAATTTTCGACTAATATTGTTTACTTACATAGATATTTGTTGAAAAATGTATTTATGTCTACAGTTGACACTATTTCAACATGCACAAATATACTTGTTTTAGTGTTGTATACGTTTTGTATTTTCAGTCACAAGAGAAAAATAAAAGACATCTACTGATATGATAATTTTTATCTAAAATCTTTGTCATCGAGTTCGGTGTAGTTTACGTTTACACATATGATAAATGTTGTATATTCTGGTTTGACCATAAGATTCTTCTGTATACGCACTTTAATAACACTCGGTCATTTTGCCAACAGACAAGATGGAAGAAAAGTTATCATACAATATGATGGTTGTAAAACATGAAAGTTGAGGGGAAAAAAATGTCAACTGGAAAAATACTAAGTATTTATTTCCCCTTAAGAAATAACAAAAGTGATAACAGTAGTAGGTGAAGTAGCAGTGGCAGCAGTAGAAGACGGAGTAAATCTTTAAATACAGAAATATACAGAAATTTATTATGTTTCTGTGTTTGTTTTGTTCAGCATAAAGATAAAAATCAGTAATTAAGTTGTAGTAGTGTCATTAGTGTTGGTAAACTTGTTATCATAATGTTGAGATATTGATGTACCGCAATATTTTCCTCCCTGAACAGATCAATGATGTTAGATATCATTGTTGTTGTTGCTTTTTGTCTTTCTCTATCCTTGATTTACACTTAGTAATCAAGTGGACAAACGGTAATGTTCGAAGTAAAAATGGTATGATAATGAAGTGGAGAAAAAAGTAATTCCGTATGATTCATTGTGGCTTTCAATGTACCGATAAGAGAGAGGGTTAGTAGGTAGGTTGGTTGTCTGTTGAAACTGTAGACAAACTAATGAATATATCTGTCCTATTCTAAAAAAAAGCAGATGAATAAATCAATGAGTTACATGATTGTCCACGTGGTGAAATTGCAGGTGGCCTGTTTATACAGCTATTTTGTTTGTAAACATACAACTGTAGGTTTAATTAAAAAGGGAGAGGAATAGATAACCAAACGTATAATAATAATAATAATAATAATAATAATAATAATAATAAATGATCCACTTGTTAGTTTTTTGTACACAATTATCTGTTTTTTCGATCTTTAAGGGAAAACAACTTTAGAATAAGATTTTCATATCAACATGTAAAAAAGAATTCAGTTCACGGTGAGAAACGAAAATAAGGGAATCCGTATAATATAACTGACAGACAAGTAGTGCATAAATCAGAGTTTAATTTGTAAGCAATACACAAAAAGAAGGTAGTAGACATAGGCAATGAAGGATTTAAGAGGAGAAAGTTTTATCAATCTAATCGTTAATGATCCAGTAGTCTGTGATAATCATCTAACAATGAATTATGATAGTTTAGATAGAAATTGATATTGCGATTGATAACAGTTCTATAGTTTAAAGTATTCTGGTCAATCAATTTAATCTGTGTATAGATGAATCATAATTCAACCTGTGGCTTTTTCCCTTCATGAACTCTTAGGTCAATATTTACTTTTTTGGTGAATATAAAAACAGGTGCTAGTGATTGTTTACGTGTCAGTTGAACAATGTACAATTTATATAGAATTGAAGAATGAAATCTGATATTGTCATTAGCATTACTGAAGTATACTTTGTATATTCACTCATTCTCTTTTCCTCTGTCTTACTTAACTTCTCTTTTCCATATTACACAAATATCAAGTGTTTTTTTCTAGATAAAAGATGAACGGAACTTAATATCAGATTTATATATGCAGCTGCAAACTGATACAGAACAAATTGGTAGTAAATACCATGAGCTAATTTTTATTTCCGGTGTTCAAAATTAGTCTATGAGAAATTTTACTTGGCTTAAACTGCTTTTTTGAATGTCATTCGTTAACTTCTTGTTGAGGATGTTAACATGGAGCTCATCAGATCATAAGTGATCAATTTTAAGATTTTTTTGTTAATAAAACCTTGTTTATTATTCAGTCCTCATCATACCTTATTACTCAGTGTAACTATTGAATAAAGAATGTTATATGACAGTATTACAGACTTCTTAAAATCATTTCCCCTTAGTGTTGATTTCAGATTATTCATAAAATAAATGATGGTTAAACCAAGTGTGAAGTACAGGGTGGAAACGTATACTTGAATATACTTGTGTGTAGTGATTACTACTAGTGACTGCTTCTATTCAGTAGTATATATTTGTTACAAGAATGTGTTTTTGCCGTTAGCCACCATATGACAGTTTGTTGTTGAGATGAGAAAAGTGATTTCTTTATTTTCCACTAATTTGAAAAGTTACACCAACTGTTATTGTTTCGTGAAGCAAAACTTTTTATATCATTATTATAACTATACTATTTTAAACGAATAATAAATTAATTGTTTAGCATAGCAACATAACGAAATAAACAAGGCTTAATTCTTACTGAAATGAGGGAGATAAATCGAAAGTAGACTTGTTTTAAGTAAGATAACTTCAAAAGCCACTAGAAACACTAAGCAGCTGTTTCCTTCAACTCGTCTAGACTTGAGTGCATTGACTGTTAAAAGATGCAATTCATAAAGTGTATCTCAGATGCATTCGTCTAACAAAACCCATCCTGAAAGTAAACAGTTTTTAAGTCATTTTCTGATCTTCAGCTGCTTTATTCTTACTACAAACTGTCACATAAGATGTGTTATTGAGAGAAAAATATGAGCTGTTTACTTTTGTTTGTAATTTCCCTATGCTATACTGGTTCATAGTGTTCTACCTTTGTTGGCAACTGGGCGCTTACGCGAATGCCTCGATATTGCTGGAATATTCATTTTGTCGTACTGTAGCTGGTGGGTAGCGGTGGAATCTAGATGACGAGTCCTAAACAGGAAGAAACGCTCTCTCTGGATTCCACAAACTATACTACATAAAGATGAGTTGATGTGTGTACTGAAACGGACTACTCTTTATTTTGTATTCACGACAAGACAACAATTAGCTCATTCTAACTCACCTCAAAATAGTTAATTTTGTTCACTTATGTAACTACATCAAAGAATCTAAGCGTCAAAATAATGCAGAAACTGGTTGTGAACCGTTCGGGTTGATACCTGGTTGTATTTGCAATTGTACTGAAACAACTCGAGAGCCTTGACATTGATTGTCATTATGTTTTGAAGTAGAGACATAGTGAAATCACGACGAAATGTCTAAGCATGCAGGACACCAACCAATTATCATCTCCTTATATTGATCTTAGTGACTAACAGAGGAATCCAGGATGCAGCTTTCGTCGTATTTAGAACTAGTCAGCCAAATGTACCTGCACTCCAGTGAGCGATGCTACTCTCACTGAGGCTGGAACACTGTACTTTTCACTTCAAACGCCAAAGGATGAAAAACACATTCTAGATGTATCTGTTAGTCACTGGGATCAATTTGATATCATGGATATCCAACAATATCAAGGCATCCTCATAGGAGCCCATCTGCTAACATAGGTCTAGCAACTCGACCGTATATAGCAACGGGAAATTACAAGTATTATTACAACAGTTATTATCTCGTTAAACCACCGACAACTAGGTCATATCTACTGTTGATTGGCCAATATATAACCTAGCAGTTCTCCTATATCCTTCTTGTGTATATGATCATAGGTCAAACACTTCTGTGTCATACATGCAGCTTATTATGTGATATTTAATGATAACTGACATGAGTGATTGATAATCGATGACACCAATGAACAGTACCTGCTAATAAGGCTGAGTTGATATACGGTCAGATTGTTGAAACCAACTTAAGTAATTGAACAGACATCTAGACAGAATACGTTTCAGCACAATATATAGATTATAGTGACAATGACACGTGTGCTCATTTCAAGTGACAAATTTCATAAATTTTTATCATTTCAGCTTTCAAAGTAAACCAATTTTTTTACTTCGAACTATATGGCTTGAAAACATATTCTTTGATCATGTAGTATTCACTGTTTAAACATAACTTAGTGAAGGAATTTTGTTTCAAAATGTAAATTATGGTAAGAGGTGACCATTTGAAATGCTGAAAATCCTTGTGAACAAAACACATTTCATTGAGTAAAACTGGAAACCAATAACAAGTAATCAACCCATTCACTTTAGTTAACTCTTCGATGTGTCGTATTCGAGATTAATCTGAATCTTACTATAATCTAGGTTGTTGTTTTAACTTTATTTATGGAATGACTGATGGTAAAAGGTACTTTGATGCAGTGAGCATTTTGTGATGTAAGTCTACTAGGCATGATAGCTGAAGAGTTTCAGACAAAGATGAAATAACTATTCAAACGTCTTTTAGTTTTATTCATTCATAAAACCATTTGACTCAGTTAAATTCCTATAGACTCCTTAATTAGCCCAATCAATGAAAGTATATTTTATATTGTTGAAATCATTTTCTTTGTTATTATACTTCTTTTTCTTTTTTTCTTTTCTACTACTCATCAGAATTCTAAACTAATCGACTACAACGGTTACTCGCATACGCCTGCATGGAATATGTGTACATCCTATGACATGTTGGGTAGCTTAAAAGTTGGTGATCAATCTCAAACGAGTAAGTATTTTATGCTTATTATGTGTTATGAATTGAGATATATTATACTACTTAAAAATGCAATTGTTTCATAATCTCAAATATGTTTTACGCTAATGATGGATGAAACTGGAGGGGTCTACACAAGATGATTTGATTACTTAACAAGTAACTCATTCCCATCCCCACCCTCGACTCACCATCTCATCTCACTTTTGTACAGTTAATAGAAATTGCAGGGCTTCTTGCTGATTGCTTCCAACCAAGTAACATCCATCAAAGTGGATGGCCTTTTAGCTTAGTGGCCACATTACATTACGATCAATAGAATTCGGTCAACATTGAGAGGCAGACAATGTAAAACTGCTTGCTCTCCAGTGATTGATCAATATATTGCAGAGTAAAGCGTTAGGTTATCAATGAGTCGTTCAAATGAGATAGAAGTTTTGTGTATAGTCACGTTCTGTAAATCCACCCTCACAGCTTCAGGACCATCATTTACAAGCATAGATGCATGTTACCATTGAATATGTGAATAATCACAACCATAGATAAGTAATATGTGTTTTGTTCTCTTACGACTATCATGAATCGGACTGAAAAACATGACCCCAGAGCTCATTAGTATCTTGTCTCAACAAGGATCTTCTGAAGTTCTAGTGGGAAGTGGTGACGTTTCGGGTCAACCACGTCCACCAATGACACTAGATGAATTGAAAGAAGTAGGAAAATATGGACCATTTGATTGCAAAACAGTGATTAAACTAGCTCACTATAAGACCTAGTAGTTCTTGGCTTGGCCTCTGTTAGGTTGGTGGGTGCATATAACTGAAAAGTCTCAAACTAGGACAAAACAACTGTACAGTAATTCTATTTTTTCAATGGACTTCTAAGTGATATAAATTTGTGGTCAACACTACCTCAAAATCAATCAACTAAACAGTAAGTCCCCACAAATCACTATCTGAAATTTGTACCAACCCTTCTATATAGATAAGTGATTACAACTGATTCATGTATTGAAGAACAAACCGGAGGAAGTTATGTCAGAAATACATTTTAGTAACAAGACTAGGAGACGGCAGGTACATCTAGCAGACGAGTCCAAAATAAGACGAAAAGCTCATCTTGGATTCCACTGCACAAAAGGTTAAAAATGTAAGAAAGAAATAATTTTATGTTAATGCTAGAATCCAGGATAGGTGTTTTGTTCTACTTGAGATTCGTCAGCTGGACATTTGTGTCTCCCAGTGAATGATACTGTTCCCACTAGAGAAATTACTAATATTAACTAACAGTAGGGGAGTAAAACAAAGAATTGTATAGTTAAAATGAAATAAAATGGGTTCATCTTATCATAAAAATCCAGTTCCTCTCGCTTCGTTCAGATTATATTCTTGTAACAAAACATAACACATCTTGGACTTGTTTATCTAACGTTGCATTACACAAAATCATCATTCATTGTTTAGAATTTGGCTTGAAATGATGTCAAAGAACTATACATCTTAATCCCGCCTTAGTACATACTTCAATATGCTAAACGTTAATAGTTACATTTGAAGCTGTGATGTACAAATTGGAATTTCGCTGAAAATTGACAACTATTCTGAATGATAACGGAATTTTTTTGCATCAAGCTGAACAACACCTGAACTTAGTTTAGATTCTTTAGATTTCGATCATATAGCGAATTCATAATTCACAACTGATGAAGGTTTTACAGAGTAAATAGTTCAACAGTTTAAAAGGAATAAGTTTGACAACTGTTAAATAAGCTAGAAAATAATTGAGAACAGGTATTCAGTACAAATAACCTTTCCACCCATCCACCCCATACGCCCCCTGTCATTTATAGCTTTCATTTTCGTTATAAACAATCATTATACCCACTAACAGTTTAATGGATAAAACACACAAACAGAGGAAGAAGCTGATATGAATAGCTACTTATGTCAAAAACAAAAAAATTGCGATTTCCAACTTTCAGTGAATCTGGTAATTATGTTAAGTTGATTTAAAGTTCACATACACGTACACACATATCATACACAAGTATACATTCGATACGCATTTATATCTGCTTGTCATTATGTGGAAATGAAATATCATTTCTACTACTTTAAAACTATCTACCTCACTGAAGGGTATTCATTCATGTGCACCTGTTTAAATTCACTAAACGCTTGTCATCTTTATCAAGTAATCAGATACACAAATGCTCGTGTGCACTCATATATACGCGTAGGTGCGCATACAGATCTATCCTCTCTCTTCCTAAAATGCATATACGTGGTTTATGTACATAAAGTAGAATGCAGCCACAGATATTTGGTTTAATGAACATTATTTCCCACCGTTTAAAATTTATTCGTATCTGATTGGTTGATATGTAAAATAAGATCAAGAGATTAATGTTTCATTTGTATATGGACTAATATATAAAAATATATGATATATTATTATTATAACTAATGTATTTAACTGTTATCAGCGAAAGTGGTCTGTGGCTGATTTATGCTTAATTGCATATCCAGGAGTGCTTAGCCAAGATTACTCTTGATTTAAATATTACGTTATCACAATGGAAACTGTTTTCAGATAATAATAATAATAATATATGACGCAAAATATGAATTGAAACACTTTATATAAACTTTGTTATCTCGTCAGCTTCTGTTAGCAGCCCAAAGGCTTCGTGTACCAAGGTTTAGATACGCGCAATTAAATACAATTGACATTGCTAACAAGTAGTACTTTAAACGTGACATTTATCTCAGCATAATGAACTACATAATTGGATCAGTAATGGTTAAGACCAAATTCAATATTAGTTTAGAAGATTCTACGAACAGAAGAAACCGGACTGAGTAGTTAGAAACTATTCAGGCTCATCTGTAGTGTTTAACCAGCCAGATTATAGTGGTATAAATGCCGGAAGACCATTTCACTTGTTCGAGGCCGAACTCATCAACGGTGTACCCAGATAAATTCAGCTTACAAAGTTGAATTAGTTCAGACCACCTGGATCTGGCTGACTGATTTATATTCACCGGTGTGCCTGAAACAGTATGATCAATTCGTAAATGGTTCATAAATTACTTGGTCCACGTTGACATTTCTCACGAATGAGTAGTTTTTTTAACTCCCCAACGATGGTGTCAACAAGGTTTCCGCTGGGAACGACTCAACAATGATCATACAGTGTGATCTGTGACTCGAAAGTGTCATGAACTATCGAAATATGCTACTACTAAACAAAGTGATTTCCCTAGACAGATCCGATTGATCTAAATCTAAGAATTCACACATCAGCTTGTGTGGTTTTCGACTACTCACTTTGTTTAGTTGTAGCATATTTCGGTAATTCATGACACTTTCGAGTCACAGATCACACTGTATGATCATTGTTGAGTCGTTTCCAGCGGAAACCTTGTTGACATTATAGTTGGGGAGTTGAAAAACTAACCAGCCATAAGAAATGTTGACATGGACTGAGTAATTTGTAAATCATTTGAAAACTGATCATCCCATCTGGCTATTTGTCTATCTGTTGCATTCGGTTATCATAGTGGCACTGACTAATCATACCAGATTTCTGTTCTCAATCATTCACACGATATAAGCAACCGCATCAAAATTCCTAGTATTGAATAAAGATTCCATTGTGAAGATAGTTTGAAAAGTAATTGTACATACTGCAAACCACAACTGATAGGCAGTCTAGAAATTCAGCCGTTTATCGGTGGGAAGTTCATTAATTGAGTTAACAAATACGATTCTTACGGTTGTAACACTTTAACGGTCACAATGAAGTTACCTAGTGTCAGAGGTGACGGTTTAAGAAATATATGGATGGCCATCTATAGCCGTAACCAATCTATCAACACTAACCTTAGAACAGTAAGTCACGTACCTTCTGATATTCGAACCCGCACTATCCAGTGTTTCAGTCAACAACGTTACCACTGATAGTTTTCGAAATTTGAAATTAGTTACTCTCCAGTAACTATTCAATGTATCTAATCCAGTCCTACAGGAGGTCAACCGTGTACCGAATAGCTCAGAGGTAGCGACGTTAACTACAACACTGGGTGACGTGCGTTCGAATTTCAGGCGGGACATCACTTCCGTTGAGTTTGCAGATATATCTCACTGACAAGTGCCAGCAAGCACGAAATCTAGGTCAAAAACAGGGTTTCCTGTGGGTTGCTTCCAGTCAACCGCTGAGCGCTTATTGTCTTGTTGATACCACTGCTGCTGGTGGTGCTTACATTTCCCACAGTAAAATTCATCCTCCAATACATTAATCACTCGGTCCAAAAGTTGTTTCATTGTTATAGCTTCATTTGTATCATCTTAGTCATCGAACAGACTAACTGCATTCTTCATTCGTGTATATTTATTCAGATGAATGAAAGGGAAAGCATCCGTAAAGAAAAAGGGTAAAATGAAAGAAGGAACTGTTGTTTTTTCAAAAAAATTCATTTAACAAAACAATACAGAACACAAGTCTATTGCCTACTGAAATATACACGATGAATAGATGATTGACACGTTCGAATCCATGCTAATTTGTTAACACTTTAGCTATGTGAACACTTTTTAGCATGTACATTTGTGTGTGCTTGCATGAGAGCACATATGTGAAATGAATACCCAGCCTAGATGAAAACGGGGAAGAACAGAAGAATGTTAAAACATTTATGTATTAATTAATTCTTCTTTTTTCTCTGCTTGTAAAAGAAAATGAAAACAGAACAATTTTTGAGGGGTTGGGTCACAATGGTTCGTGTGAATCATTACACTGACTAATTGGTACTTCGCTCATTTATGCAGATTCACTGATTGAAACTAATCTAAATCGTAATTACCCTCATTACCTAAAAAAATAAGTGCTAATATCTAATAATAACACTAAAATGTAACTGGAAAATTCGAAAATAAAGTAACTAGCGATGGATAGTGGCTAGGAGTGGAATCCAAGAAGAGCATTTCCTTCTATTTGGGACTCGTCTGCCCAGTGTACCTACCTCCCAGCTGACTAGTCGCAAATAGGACGAAACGTGTGTTCTGGATTTCACTGCTAGTCACTAACTATCAATAATATCAGAATTGAGATAACAGACAATACCGAGGCATCCGCATAGGAGCTTATATGCCAATAGAGACTGACCTATTCGGTCCATTCAACGACGGAAAACTCATATAAATAGGCTAACCCTTTCTATTGTATTTGAACCAGGGGGTCCTAGCAATTAATTTGGAGTTTTACGAATCGAAAACCATAGTCCCATTAGGAAAACGTTGGTTTGGTAATCTGAAGGCCACTAGTTCAAGTCATTTTACAATTCAATTCTTCACCTTATTTTAACTGTTATTCTTTTAAAAATAACACCTCCCCTTCATGGTTATCTGATGAATAAACACAAACACACATACGCTGTCTGATTACGGAACTTTCGCCTACTCAAATTCAAGTATATTGATTCCAAGCAAAAATCCAGGCTGACCTCTTTTTACCCAAAACTTTGTCTCCCTTCACAAAAGTTTTATTTTCACCTTTAATAACTCACTTTAGATGTTTGTGTTGATTCATCATAGAGTGAAGTTGGTTAGAAAATTTCTTGAAAACTGGAGAGCTGTTTCATCCTAGTATGGAACTCCTTAGTGATGTGCACCCACGACCCTACCGTGGGTGGAACCTAGGACCTTCAGGTTTCGTAACCAGCACGCTGGGTTGGAATTCATTGGTTCACATTTTCCTACTCCTGTCAGTTCGCGATGTAACATGATCTTCATTCAACGTAGCTGCTGAAAACTTGTCATCATGTTCGACTTAGTGTTTACTCCATCAGTCAAGATTTTTCTTATTGATGCTACGTAACAGTGCGAAAACTTAACATCATTTCGAAAAATTAAATGATTCAATGTACAACGCTTTCGTTTATTCTTTATTTATGTTCAACTGGAAACCTTAAAGTAATATTCTTTGTTTTGCGTTATATTTTAGTGTCGGATAATAGAAATCCCCTACGGTGTACCGAAAGTGTTGTAATTCCTCTAGCTGGACATTGATATCAATCAAAAACACTATTTATCACTATTTCCTCATTTATAATCGTGAAATATTATTTATTTCTATGCCTAATTATTACCAGTGCACATATATGACTGAAATTGACTGAAAAATCATTTTTTTAAAAAAAAATATTTTATTCATCATCAATTCACTTCTTGTACAGAATTTTATTCCTAAAATCACTTTTGAAAAGGTAATATAATTTTTATAAATAAATAAAACAATACCTATCAATAATAATTAATCATGATGGGAATAATTATCTATACATATTAAATAAAAGTTGGTTCTGCCTCAAAAAAGCCTTTTTCGTCTCATTACTATTTAATAATTGATTGATTTTCCCAGTGGTTTAGTGGATAATGCCTCAGCGTTTGAAGCAGTGTGTATAAGGTTAAAGTCTCAGTGGGAACACCATTACTCACTATAAGGTACAGGTGTATCTGGATAACATGTCCCAAATAGGACGAACTACGCATCTTGAATTCCACTGCTAGCCATCGAATAGACTAAAATTTAATGAATATCCACGCAGTATCGAGGTATCCCCATGGGACCCCATAAGCTAACACAGATCGATCACTTCGATCCACTGATGAGGAGTCACATACTAAAGAAAAGCTATTCAGTTCTCCTAAGATTTCAATGGTTCCCCAGAGGATATCAGTTACTGATAAGGCTCTGTTTTAATGCTTATTGTAAAGTGAATGGTATGAAATATTCGGTTTTTTAAAAATCTTGTGCATAGGATAATTTGCCATAGTCCTAAGTCCTCTTTGGATTGCGCGAATTAAGAAGTGACACTGAGCAGTTACCAGTTTTCATAAGAAATATAGAAAGATAGTTTCCGCTTACATATTAGGATGGCGAATTTGAACGCCTCTATCTTTTATTGTTTGGTGAGGTGGGTAATGTCATCAACCTACATAAAACAGGTGTAATTCGAAACCAGTACATGACCTTCTGTGGGCTGGATGAAGGCAAATACCTTGAAAATGAGGCCAAACTCCAATACTACTACTAATACGAATAACAATAATGATAATAATTATATCTAAACTAACAAACCGATTAGGCTTGATTTCACATGAGATACCATAAATCTATAATGACCCATACAGAGTTGAAAGAAGTAGGGAAATGTGGATCATTGGGTTCCAATCAAGTATTTGAGCAGGAGCATGCTCACCCAGAGGCTGTTCTGAGTTAGATCCTCCAAATGGTCGTGCACGTGTATTGGTGAGCAGTCTTAAATTCGGTCGAAATAGGTGTCCACATCTGTCAGGTTTTCAGTTGCTCTCCCACTCATGTTGGTTCATGTTCACAGCTGCTTGGAAAACACCTTGTTTCTTGTTTAGTTATCTGTTCTGCATGGACACAGTCTTGTTTATTGCACCCTCCCCACTAACACCATCTAATCCGCTGGTATAGATGATCATTGACGAAGCAAAATGCTATTTTTATTTAATTTCATCTTCTCAGAAGAGTTCATTATTTGGATATCAAAATAAGTAACTATTTGAGAGAAGCAATTCAAAATGAACACAAATATAATTGCGTAAAGGACATTGTATATAAAAGTGTAAAGGTATGAGCAGTATAAATCGAAATCGGTGTGAGATGGATGACACAAAGCTTAGAAGACCTGAAGCAATAACCACCTATCCAGCAAAGCATACCGTTAATATTTAGGTGATTTTGTACCTGGAGTTCTTGTATTATCCTGGACGTCTACTGCAGTCCTAACTATTGGTCGATCTGATAATTTCAGATATACAGTTAGGTGTTTCGAGAGAATCCATATGAACCATTCAGGGATGCTTGATGTTAACGTCTTTGACCGAAACAATGGATGATACTGGAAACCAGTTCTGACAAGAATGCAGATACTTCATACTGACAAGTTCCAACAACCACGAAACCTAAGTACATAACTTCCTGTCGTCTGTCTCCAACTGCCTATCATCAACTGGTGCGCATAGTGATGTTGAATATGGAAGCTTAGTGACCAAACTGCAAAAATGACCAGTTGAATTAGACCAGTGACTAATACTTGACAAAATGAAATTGGTTGCCATTTAGTGACCGATATATCCCTGTGCAGTAACGTTGACCGTAGAAGCACTGAATCTGGACTGAAGTGAATATTTTTAATCTAAGTCTTCTGAATAGTACTCATTTTAGGTGTAATATGCGATTGAAAGTAGACTATTCTAGCTTCTACTATCTGAAGCCGAAGAGATGATGCTTTTGAAAGAAAATTTTAGGTTTTGTTTTCATACTCACTAATGATTACCACAATGCGATATTTTCAAGCTCGGAAAACTGCTAACGTCTCGGAAACTTGGAGTAAAGTTGAAGATATTATCGCTAAGTGACTGCACACAGAGCGAGAAGGAGGGGTTAACTAATGACTACACTGAAAAAGCTTAGCGATGTAAAGTTAACCATATGGTACAATGACGAAACATTTTGAAATCAGCTAACTAACCTGAAAAGTTAAGTCGCTAAGGTCAAGTAGACTGAAATATTTGAAACAAATCAATAAAGACTCGATTTGATTTGGAACACCACCACATGGAAAGCAGATACATCCAGTTTTTCAATCAGACACGATAAATAAAACTCATTATAGGTCTTAGTGTTTGTTGCCACCAAGTATTATCAAGAATTGAGTGTGTCTATGTCAAAAATAACATATTGATAACATTTGTGTTTTATTCTTCTATTGCACCTTCATGTTGAGGATCTCACAAGAAAAATAGATATTTCTTAATTTATCTATTACATTTTTGGTAGCCTTTATGCAACGTGCAGTTTGATACCAGGCTAGAAAATATGATTAGTATGAAATAAACCTCGTCAGTTAGCTAGAATTCAAACGATTGGAGTGAGTTTTACACTTCCAACCATTCTTGTACGGCTGTTGTAAACTGATGATGTTCTTTTTGATTGAAGCAACCATTCATCTGTTTGATTAATGCTAAATACCATGACACTGAGGGACTGGAAATGAAAAGAAACATTGACATCTAACCACCACTGGGAGGTAGGTAGATCTAGTTGACGGTTAACAAATAAGACGAAACACGTGTCCTAGATTCCATTGCAAACCACTAGCCATCTTTAATATCAGAAAGAAACTTTTTCTATCTCAAAGTTAAGCGGTAAAAACTAACTTACAGACAATATTCTGAATAATTTGCACATTTCCTCTTCTACCTTTTTGCTTTTCGCGTTTATTGAGACCGAAAAAGCCTGGTAACTTCCCTTCTGTGATGCGATTGATGATTGCTGGTGGCCGGAATTGGAATCCAGGTGACACGTTGCATTCTATTCCCCAATTGTCATCTGAGTGTGCCGACATCTCAGTGAAACTCAGAGTAAACACCCAAAGCTTCAAATGCCAGTAGGCTATTGAGTCATGACACCCGGATGTGTAACGGGTATCAGTTTATCCATAACTCAAAACTTTTAAGTGTTAACATTTCTCATTGCAGTTACTTAACTGTGTATTACGGTCATCGTTCAATGTTTTGAAAAATTGAGTCTGAACTTGACTGTCTATAGAATGTTGGATGGTAGCATTCTTGTTACCAAGGCTGACAGACTTCTGTTAAGTTTTACATGGTACTGTGGATAAGAAGTATTGAAGTGTTAAGCTAGAACAAAATACTCCTCAGTTCTTAAGGTTTTCATGAAAATAGTCATTAGCTTACAAATTAACCGAATGAGATATTTATTTCGTGATGGGTAGCAGCAAAATTTCAAGGTCCACACTTCATACAGAATAAGAATAATCAACTGAATATTCTGCGATATGCTAATAACCAATATCTTGACAAATCGCACAACAGCGAAACCCATAGCACTTTCAAGGCCGTAATGGAGACTTGTTGACATACCAAGAAACATTGATATGTTTCGTTCAATCAAACAGATAGGAAGAAAAAACAAAATCTTAGTAACAGTCATCACTTCATGCACAAGAGTCTATTGACTCATTATTTCATTGCAGTGACTGAGGAGATAGATGTTGGATTCAAGACACAGCGGTAAAGTGAACACTAAGATTCAAGTATATGCATGGCAACATCAAGATCACACATACAGAGACATGGGATGGGGCAAGCCCAGTAGGATGTCCATGTATTGATTCAGCTCAAGAAACTGAGTGCTTCTAAACAATGAATGTCAAACAACACCCAAACGACTCTCGACTATCTGTCATCTTCAGACGAAATTCTACCACAATGATAAATGGACACATAGCAGCTTTTTAAAATGAGATTAGACTACTACAGATACTGTCTGCCCTCAGCTTAAAATATACGGACATTTAAAAAAATCATAGTTTCACTAGGAAAATAGACTAAAGAAGTTGGGAGAGAAAGAGAAAAGACAGCTTTATTAAATCTTCCGAAAACAAGGTTCTGAACGGGTTGCCTTCCCTTGATATATATATATATATATATATATATATATATATATATATATATATATATATATATATATATATATATATATATATATATATATATATAGTCCACAGTATACAGTCACTCATTCTTTATATCAACATTTACTTTTAATCATAAACAACCTGTATAGTTTATCCAGAAGGGGACCTTAACTGTTATGGTTATTGATTTGTCATATTAAACGTTATCAATGAGAATACCAGTGATAGTTGATCCAATCTATTTATATGTATATGTGTGTAGGCATGTACGCATACATACAGGTGGCTTTCAGAATAAAAGAAATCTTTTATCTTCACATTTTGACACCGCATATCAAACTTTATCCTTATTAAATTCAATAAAGTGATGTATAAATTTATTCACGCATATAGAGAACTTATATTGAGGTAAAGATAAATAGACAGATTGGTTGAGAGAGAGAGAGAGAGAGAGAAATTGTATTTCCAGGGTATCAGAATCAATTATTCGTTCTTATCAATTTGACTGAGATAGCCGTGCTCTGGGAGACTTATATTAATACTGGTAGTTGGGCATGAAATGAAAATCTGAGCCGTGACCTCCGGTTTGCCTGTCCGATGCTCCACTAACTGAGCTACGAGACTCGACCGCTGACTACATAGATCTTAACTTCACTTCATTCACCTAGTGTTCTGCGGGAATCTCATATGAATTCGTGATGTGTTACTACTGCCTGGTCGTATACAGACTGGCTACCCAATTTGTCATTTGCCTACTCTATGTATGCTTTCTATCAACAACCTCCTCAAAGTTCCATCAGTCTTTCTTGTCAGTTCCGTATCAAGATAAAAAGC